TTCACGTTTAACCGAAGGGTACTGCTCGAATACCTAGAGGACTTCCTGCAAAAGAATTTCGTTGAAAATCGGCTGACCTTCAGACGATGACCACCGACCGACCTACAAGACCTACACGAACATTCCTTTCGTCGCCTCGTCGCCTCGTCGTCGTCGTCGTCGTTTCAGAAACCGCCGTAACCGCTCCCGTCGTCGTCACTGCCATCCTCGACAACGAGGCAACTGCCGTTCTGCCCATCCTCCTGCCTTACCCAGTTGTCGAGTTGTCGAAAAAGAATAAGCTTGTTTGTGTTCAGTTGTGAGGTCACTGTTTTCCGTGTGCCGAATGTTGAATGTACAAATGTACCGCTTGTGTCGTTTGACTCTAATCATTTTGCTGCTGATCACACAGAAACCATGTTTTTAGCTTTTCGCTTATGAAGTCGACTGGAGAAAATAAAGATTTTGGCGACTACAGACTGTCACTTGTTGTGACCAACGTCTACGTGATGTGCTGTGTGTTGTTTTTTTCTTTCTTTTTCTCCGGCGTCTTCGCTCCTCTCTGTCATGCTTCGTGAGTGGCATTTTCACTGGGTGCTGTCGAATGCGCGGCGTTCGTGCAACGCGCCGAAGCTGAACATCTTCATCCAGTCCAGCGATAGATGTCCATTCAGTGTTACCCTACTAAACTTTCCCTTTCTTTCTTCTCATGGCCATAAATCACCTTCGTTTCCGCTACTTCGCCCGCCAATTAATCTGGGTCAATAGCTCGGACGCTGAGTCGTCTGTTTAAATCGTTTCGTTCATCTCAGGCTCTAGGTGATTTTTGTTTCGTCCTTGTTTTCATCAACCTGCTTCCTTGCTTTCGATCAACATGGTGTTCTGGTCTTCTCATGGATCATCTGGACTGGCCGGTATTCGGCGACGAATCGCACCGGCCGCAACACTTCGATGATCCTCCAATTCCGTCCGGCTTTTGTTCAGTGTTGTCCATTCTAGCCGTTGACGAACCGACCGAGGTCTAACCTCAGTGCAGCGGTGACATTGGTAGCCGCCTTTTCGCCCCAAAGAGGCGGGTCGCTTTCTCCTCAAACGAGGATGTGAGTGGAGGCATGCTGTTTTTTCCTCTGAGCACCTAACTTGTCGAACTCGAACCTAGCCACGCCCTGTTGTTCTCATCGCTGCTTGGCCGCGACTGCTTATTTGTCGTAGCTATCCCCCATGTCTCAATACTGTTCCTTTCTGCAATAAGGAGATGTTCCAGATGACCAGCAGCTAATAATGATTTTCTAGATTTTAAATGATTTTCAGAAATACACGTCGAGCTTTACCTACCTTAAAAAAGTACAGCATTTTTTTAAAGCATAGCTTAAGCACTAGATTCAGTTGCCTATGATTCATATTTTGAACTTCTTACTGGTTTTACAATATTGGTAGTGCGATGGCACAGCGCCTAAGGAGTTGGCTTTGCACTCCAAAGCTGCCAACGGATTCGTTCAAAGCAACATTTGGCTTAACCGCAGATTTCCACGGCAAGGTATTAGCCAAACAACGCTTCAAAGCAGCCAGCCGATAAGGAGGTAATTAGTGAATGACTTGCGAATAACATGAACGGCATGAAATTCTAGCCTGGTTAGGTAAGAATGGACGAAGTGTACGGTCCTACAGTTCAATGCTAGCACTCACGATGTTCAATGAGGCGGCAATTCTCCTTTACACATCTGATAATTGTCTGTCCTGTGTTATAACTAGCACAAGATGTAAACTTACTTTCGATTTAGAATTTCAGTCTCAATACTGAAGCGCCAGTGAAACTAAATTCCATAAGTTTAAAATAAAAAACCTCTTTAGAAGAGACACCGGTTTTCTCCTTTGTAGCCATTTTTCAGCTTCTAGTGCAGAGACCATTACGGGTGACAGTATAACAAAAGTTACACTAGAAATTACAGGAAAATTGCAAACAGTGAGATGCTGGGAATGTGCAACAGAAAAGAAAAGTAGCTGATAAAAGAGGCTGAAAGTCAGAAATGCGATGGACAGGGAAAAATTCATATTAAGCACTTACAGGGGAATAAAACTCAGCTGAACTGGTGTAGGTTTTACACGTTTGCCTTTCAAAGCGAAATGGGCAGAAATTCGTGAACAAGGAGTTGAGACCTCTTCTTTTCAGGTTAACGACATTAGCCTTTTCACTGTCGCAATTATGATGTCGTCCTCGGTAATGTGCCGCAATTGCGGAATGTCTTGGATTATTGAATTTTATCATTCTGACGATGACATGGCGTTCTTTCATCAGAACTGTAAATCCCAATATAGCGTTCGCATGAAATTGCTTTGGTGAAGGTATAGGACATCAAATAGTTGAATGAGCAGTTTCACTTCTCACTTCTTCTGTGACAAATTCGAAGACCTTTTAAGAAAACAGCACTGGATTAGGAGGATGCAGATGCCATATTTGATCTTCTGGCTTATGATAATCATATATAGCATTAAGAAGGCTTGAATTAATATGAAATGTTGGCCATACTCTTTTTGTAGAAGCAAACATCCTGGTACAGAAGCTGAACTATTTATTTAAGGTGACAACGGGTTCAGTGCAATAAAGTTTAGTTTAAATCTCATTTTGGTAATAGTGCTATAGAAAATCATATGAGGTGGTTCAAAGAACAACTACCTATTAAATTACGTTGTGCTCTGTAACT